TTCTTCAATCGCGGAATTATGAAATTGCCTTCAAAATGGACAAAAGTTATCGAACAAAATATTTGGCGCATATTTGATCGAAATCGGATAATCCTAACTATGTTAATTTCATCGTCGAAATAAAGCGAAAAAATGCTCAGAACTTTTTACTTCACCTAATATTACGCTGACAGATTGAGATTTTACATTTAAAATTTTTTCGTTTTTGTTACATATTGAGCAATGCTTCTATTTAATTATGCATGTATTTTCATTGCGTAAAAGTATTTGTAATTCTGTGTAACCAATACGACGTAAACTTTGCAGAAAAATGTCAGTGTTCTGTTGGTAAAGTTTTCAGCTTCAGTATCCCTTTAATAGATATAGCATAGACGTGTATAATATAGTTCACTTAAGGAACTATTGAACAAATATATTACACTATGTATATTTATTATTAAATTTATTAAAAATTTTTAAATTTTGCAAATTGCAAAATTTGACTCTGCACCGACAATAATTTTTGTGTAAAAAATAATAAAAGATAAGTAGATAAGAATGAACCTGATAAAGAAATATTAATTTTTCGAGTCATGATTATCCCAGTTTCGAATGACAGTTTTAAATAACTTGTTCTTTTTAAATAAACTGGTTGCATTAAAAATAATAATTTAAGAATTTAAGAATAATTTAAGAATTAAAAAAAAATAATTTTATTTTAAAATAAATTACGTATTTTATTTTAATATTATAAAAAAATAATAAAAAAGTAATGTACCTTTATTTTTTTAATAACAGTAACGATGGCGAATTATTTTTTAAAATTAGTAACGAGTAACGGTAACGTGTTAGTTTTTACGAAAAATAACAATAAAGCGTTACTCTTTTTTAAGTAACATTTTTACAGTTCTACATATTATACACACACACATACACACATAAGTAATTAACGTAAATAATTGGTTAATTTGTATGGTAATACAGAATAATAGAAAACTATGTATCTTGCACTTATTTAAACTATGTATCTTACCCTTTGGTAATTTTGTTCCTTGGTTATTTGTCCAACTTGATCTAGGAGCTGACGTATTCTAAGTTGAAGTTCCGATAATTTTTCTTTCTGTGCCACATTAGCATAATCAATTGCATGTTCCCCTACTTGAATATCAAGATGCACTCTCTATAAATAAACATAATTTTATTATTATTTAATTTGTGATACAACTTTTATTTTAATTTCTATTTTCTTGTCTGTCAAAGTATAGTATGTATATAACACACTGGATTGTGTAAGTTAATTTTTTTAAAACTGAATTATATTTAAAGTAGAAAGATGCCCTATAAAATTAACTTAGTTAAAAATTACATAAATAAAAATTGACCATTAAAAATTATAATTAAAGTTAACTTATAATTAAAATATTTATTAAAATTAAAAATATATTATGTAAAGCAACGTTTTAACTTGTGTATAATTAACTTTTTAATTATAAATTAAATTTTTGAAAATAATAAAAACGTAGTTTTTTTAAATAAGAAAATACCAGCTATATTGTGCTCAGGATTCCATACAAGGAAAGAATACTGGTATTCAAAGACGAAAAAATTCTTTTTATTTTTCTTATTCTATTTGTAAGCAACCTAGAATGATTTTAATATTAATAAATTTTAACTTGTGTAAAAAAAGCTCATAAATTAAAATAAACATTTAAAAATAACTAGTGTAAGTAAAGAGCTAACTCAATTAAAATTCATTAAGTTAAAATTTATTGGCTTTTTAACTTAATTTTTGATTAAGTAATTATTATTATTAAGTAGTTTGATTAAGTAGTTATTATTTGAACCAATATATGTCTATACAAGATATATATACTTTACCAACTGACTGCCACTGAACCATGCACTACTATTGGAATACAAGCAAATAACATGTTCTCCTGGGGTATGTGAGGTAAAGGAGATTCGTCCTTCAGAACTATAAACTCTAGAAAGTATAGGTTTGTCATCTGAATCTTTTACTTCAACATGCATTCCAATACCAGGGCTGCTTGGCATAAAACCTCCACTTCTGGGATCATAGAGTTCCACTTTGTAATTTACTGTAATGTTACAAAAAGTATGTTGTAGGAAATCCTTTATTTCTCAATAGATATAAAAAATTCTTTCTTTTTTTGTTGACCTTTTAGCCTATCAAGTAAGTTATTAGAAGCAACTATCCATGTTACAATATATAACATAGTAAAATAGATATATTCTTTAAAATTGCATTAGATTGTATTTTTTATATTTAAAATGCAATATATATATATATATATATATATATATATATATATATATATATATATATAAAATAAAGGTAATAAGATAAATTAGAAAATATAACTATAAAGCTTAATATGTGGTAAGATTACTTAATATATGCTTTAATATATGGTTATATATATAATTATATGTCCATATGGAAAAAAATATTATTGAACAATAAAAGAAAAAATAGTTTTATTCAATTAAAGATTGATATCATAAATTGTCAGAATATTTACTTTAATATTTACTTTAATTCTTTTTGTACAATATCCTTTCAGTAAGAATATATATAATTTTATATACAAATAAAATTCATATAATTTTTTTCCAGGTCATGTGTTAAGACCATTATCATATTTGCTATCGATGTTACACATATGTGATATAGTGATTCCTTATAAGAAATTAACATTTGTCTGTAATAAAAAAAAAATTTCTTTTTATGTCAATGTAAACTAACTCTGTTTTACACTATTATATAAGAAAATATGGGATGGATTTTGTTGGAAATGATTTCTCAAATAAACCTTGATAGTAAATACATGTTCATCTGTGTTCAATAACCACAGACGGATTCGCGCCGCTTTCTTGATTAAAAAGTTCCTCCTTTGTATGGGCAACTTCAGGCAATAAATCTTATTTACCTAAGACTGTAGTATCGTCGGGAATCTCTTCGATGAAGCATTTTCGCTCTGTCTCACCAATGTGAAAATACAGACCAGTCCCGAACTTGAAAGTGCATAGAAACAGGATAAAAGAGCAAGCGTATTTTAACATATTTTATACGGTAAAATATTACAAACGATTAATGATATCAGTGATATTAAACTGTATTGGATCGCAGGTGAATGTTTGCAAATTTACAACATGTACATGCGTGCCAGATGAAACACACGTCAGCTCTGTCACGTCGTTGACAGCGGTCTTACGGCAGGTCCGTTCTTTCTAGACTTCAGACTTCAATGTGTGGCTGAGTACACCTAGCGTTAAGTGACTCTACGCCATTGCTCCGATCCAAGCTTCTGTCGTATGTGGACTGTTGTTTTTGGCGGCAAATTAAATTGAATAAAGCTAGTCACACATACTTAACATTCATAACAGTAACTATAAAGCCCGTATCAGACTACCGACTGCACAGGCCAACCCGACTGCCGAATTTGTATGTACTTGACCGAAAAGAAAACTCCGGTTGGAAAACTATTCTTTTAAATCGTTTGTATTTCGTACGAAGAGTTTTGGAGTGCAATTGAAAAGATTTGTGAGTCATTCTATTACTTGTAATTAATTGTTCTTTTTTGGACCATGTATTTAGCCGGAAATAATGACCGGAGGTAAATTAAACAAAGGTTCGGTATGGTATCGTTTGTATTTCATATGAAGAGTTATGAAGTATCATTAAAAAGGTTTGTGACCCTTATAGAAATATCATACTAAGAATCATTGATAATTACTTATTATCCAGTATTTTTAATACTGAAAATAAGTAATTATCAATGATTCTTAATATGATATTTCTATAAGGGGAGACATCCAGATAATTTTAATTAAATATTAAAAAATCATGTATTTGGCCGAAATATCGATCTCAAGCGCTGCTGTGGAAGTACCGTCAAGCACGATCGTTGTACTATCTAGTATTTCAATTCATGGTTCATTTTCGGGTAATTATGTATAATAAGGCCTTTTTCGAATTTTGATATTTTTTTGCAGCTCTTTTGGTAAAAATATTTATTTTGACTCCAATATTGATAATCAATCGGGGGAGTCCGAAAAATATGCAAGTTATATATTGTTTTAACTTTTTTTTTCTTTTTATTTTTTATTTTTCACTTGTCGAACGTTGCTGCTTTCCCACAATTTAAACAAGTTACTGATCTTTTAATCATATTATGTAACTGCAATATCGAACGACTAGCGGGGGGCTGCGCCCCCCGCACCCCCCTCAAAACTAACCTAACCCAACCTATCGTCACATTAACCGTCAGTAATTGTTTATTAAAGTGTTCAACTTTTTTTCTTAATGATTTTTTAATAAACAATGACTAACAGCTAATGTGACGATGGCTAATGTGACTAATGTGGCGCAGCCTCCCGCTAGTCGTTCGATATGTTATTATGCAGTTACATAATGGCTTGGTTTACATCGTGCACTTGATACGCGTACTAAATAGTAACTTTCTATTAGATAATCTTAATATCGACAATGCATATCAACGGCGACGCATTCAATCAATACAATACGTTTTCTTGATGAGTATTATATCGCTTAATATATCGTTGTTTATATATATCGTCGATATTAAGATTATCTAATAGAAAATTACTATTTAGTACGCGTATCAAGTGTACAATGTTAACCAAGTCAATGTGATTACAGATGGATGGGACCCGATTGACCACGATACGATTGGACACAGATTGTAATGATTGGTTCGACCTAGTAATTCACTAGATAATTCTTTTCATCGGTTGGTTCTGTCCAATCGTACCGTGGTCAATTGGGACGCTCCCTTAAAAGATCAGTAACTTGTTTAAATTGTGGGAAAGTAGCAACGTTCGACAAGTAAAAAAAAATAAAAAAAAAGTTAAAACAATATATAACTTGCATATTTTTCGGACTCCCCCGATTGATTATCAATATTGGAGTCAAAATAAATATTTTTACTAAAAGAGCTGCAAAAAGATATCAAAATTCGAAAAAGGTCTTACGGCTGCCCTTATAGAAATATCATACTAAGAAATACTGAAAAATTATTAGTGATTAAATATTACCAGTAATTCAGTAATTTTTTGGCCAGTACTTCATTTCCGGTGAATACTGATAATAAAATCACTGTTAAATATTGATAGTAATCAAATACTGAGAATTATTATGCGAAGGTGAAAAATGAGAAAATCATGATGTTTACAAAAATATATTATGATGTTTATAAAATATATTAATGTACGCAATTTGAATGAGCAAGATATGCAAGTTTTATTCGATTTCCTCTCATTATCCCTTATAGAAATATCATACTAAAAATCATTGATAATTACTTATTAT